GTTATCATTATATTCTATTCTTCTTTCTCTTCCAACCTGATTACTTTAGATATTAAAACTGCGTATAGAGGCTCTTTTTCCTAAATCTTAAAAAGTACAATCAGGAAATGAAGTGCTAAATTTTCAAATACTTACTGTCCTATAGAATTATTTAATGGAAAATTAAATTCTGACTGAAGATGCTATTACATTTTATATGCTCTCAAAACCTTAATTTTTAGTATACAGCATAAGTATGATCCTCAATAAGAGAAAATAATGTGAATAAAACTCTAATGGCTTTAGTTGTTTATTCATAAAATAGAAGATCTTAAAGTCTACAATATACAAAAAAAATCACCTCCATCTACAGAAGCTCACATTTTAGATTGTATTTTTGTTCTTTATTCTAATTTGTCATTATTTAATGAGCATATTTCCAATTAAATAAAATCTGTACCTATTCTATTTTAGGATAATCTGAACAAAAATATCAAGTATTACTCTCAACTACTTGCCTAAAGAGAACTGGAAAATATATTAAATCGTATCTCTGTAGACACTAGCACTTTGGCAAAAATGGATACTCCATGTAGGCATGTTAAAAATGTAAACTATTAGAATATCAGGGTTTTACCAGGAGTAAGACTTCAGATCTGGAGGATACACAAGGGCCATATGACAAAATTTCCTGTTTCAAATTTCATACAAAATCCTATGTATGATCACAGAACATGTAACACAAACTGATAGTGAATAAACATTTTATACTACAAAATGTTATGTGTAAAATATTTTGGAATATGCTTTCATTGCTTTTTAAAAAGATTAGCGAAAAAAAAGAGGTCAGCTTCCAGTGATGAGGGATCTAATCCAGACAACAAAGAAGTCAAAGGGAATCTTCCCTTTGTTTGTAGTGAGATTTAAATTTGACACTGCATTAAAAAAAGGGAATTATGTTTGAAGCAAAATGCCTGTGTACATATGTATGTGTGAGTGTGCGTGTCCGTGTGTGTGTTTGGGGGGGGTGATGAATGGGGAATGTGTGTATATATATGAATACACAACCATACATATATAAACACACATAACTGTCATTATTAAGTATAGCAGGGTTAGCAAGCAGCACAAGTGAAATGACTCTGCCCTTCAGACAAGGCTAGTTTACTGTCACTGGGGGTTTGGTTTATTCTACTACCATACACACTTTCAGAAATATTGCTGACAAAGTTAATACGCAAGAAAGGAACATTTTTCTTACTCCGATCAAAGATGCAATAATCAAATCATAGAACACAAAACCAATAGCCAATCAATGTGAATAAGTCTGCCCATAGGCTTAATTCAAGCAAGCCATTCACTGAGCTATGTGATGGATCTGTCAAATCCCATACAGCATTACAGACATACTAGCAACATCACGTGAACATGCAATGACAAAATGACAATACGCCCCACTGCCATGCTTTGACTTGTTCTACCTCATCAATATAAAACTTGATGACTTTGCTAGATTCTTGTACTTCAGACTTGGACAGAAATCTAACAACTATACTTGTATCTATATTTTTTGTAAATATTACATGAAACCAAAATAAAACCTGTACGAACATTTTATTGACATCTGTTTCAGTGTCTTTTGCACATCCTTAGAATTATTTTTTCCAAACCCTCCAAACAGTTTAAAGAGTTTGGCAGGCAAAGCTCCAGAACAGTGAAGAACATATAACTGATAAAAGGGGACCTATTGGTCTATATAAGAATTGGAAAATTTATCAGAAATATTTTAAATATTGGAAAGTTAAAGAAGATTTTTTGATCCACTTCTGCAAAGAGCCTCAAATCTTTAAGTGCAATTTAGTATGATGTAGATCACACAGTACAGAAATCCAATTCTAAATCTTTCTGAAGTTGTATTCAGTGATTATATTGCTTCATAAATAAAACAAACTGTACCTTTTTGTTTGTTTTGTTGTTTTTGTTTCACTGTCCTAAGAAATGACTGGAGAACTCTGCAAGGTCTACCTCTGTTGTGAAATTGGTTTTAGGAGTACATGATTTGCCTTTAAAAATGTTAGGGATTTGTGCTGATTTGTTTAATGAGATTTCCTTGCCACCTGATTGTCCCCTATCTATCCCTTTGTTGCCTATTTCCAGGAATATTTCCAGCTGTGACAAACAAGGATACCATTGCATTTCTTCACAGTAGAGCTCTCTTACAGTGATCATTATCCATTGACTTGGTGTATTGATTCTGGGTTCCCAAATCTTTCTGTTAACCTTTATTTTTAATTTACTGAAACATGTCTCCAATCTAAAGATTTCCTCTTTGCATCTCCTGACTTAAGAAGCATGTCAAATATGGAACATTGCCATTCATTATGTATATGAGCTGTGATCAAAAAAATAAGGCTTTATTTTTTAAATTAATATGAAGTAGTATTTCCATTATATGTCACTGTTTCAACAGTACATACTCACTGGTCCTCACTTCATTTTTCTGGGTAATGTTTACACATAAACAGTAAATATATTTCATGTGTAATTAAATTAAATATGGGCTCAAATCAACACTAAATGAGTAGCATATAAGGAAAAACAGAATCTTCAGTATTGTCAGAGGACAGCAGATGAATATTACACTGAGAAGAAAAGATACAAGCACTTGTACTGAACTACATTTCAGCACTTTCAATATTAATAATTCACAAAGGTTGCTAAATTAAATTCATTAAAAAATGAATGAACAGTTAATTAAGCAAACTGTAGTTGTGAGTAACCAGAGGTATCCATGTTTGCACATAGTTTCCCATATGCAAAGAAACATTTGAGCAGATTATTATTTGTTGTGTTCTCTATGCTAGTTTTAGGATTCTCCCATAAAGAAATTAAGTTACAATATTTGTAATTAAGACAAGAAACCATATTCATTTGGAGGAAGTAGATTGAAGGTGAGGGTTAACCACATTTAAAAAGAGAAGCTAAATTAAAAAATCCAAAAGATATAAAGTTCATTTAAGATATATAAAATTATGCAAGCAAAGATAGGTTATTACAGTTGTAATTATACACCAAGTGTATCTGAAAATTAGACATTTTTTCAAAAAAAAAGAATTAAGGGTTGTAACAACTGCATTACTGCTGATGCCTTCTCAAGCTTCCTTTACCACATTTAAGAGCACTGTCTTCTTAGACAAATCCTTTACTTTCTGTGTCAGCATAACTCTTAGTGATGTTGACTCTCTACCCATAGAAGAATATGTGACCAACTGATGTTTTCTCTTGCAGCATTTGATTTGTCTTATAAGAAGGTACATTAATTGATAACTAAAGCATTTAAAAGTCATCTTGATATTGTTCAGTTTCTCTCTGCAATGTACAGGTTTTCAGAAATTCATTTATTCATAGGAATAAACACCCTATAAAATGATTCAGGGACACCTGAACGATATCTGGTAAAAAAAATGACTAATCACAGGAGGTTATTTATGATTTTGTCCTTTCAGTTTAGTAAGTTTTTTGGTGCAGGAATTGTTTTGCATTATAAGCTCACAGAAAAATACTAGAGCTGTGACATGCTATCATACCTTTGTGGAAATGAAATGAAACTACTGAGTAGCACTTGACCTTTGTAGGTTACCCTAAGCAGAAAGAGTTCATCGCGAACAAAGTGCACACAGCACATCTCTAGTTGACGTTACTGATCCAAAATTAATAGAAAGTAACTTGCTTACCTGTCTGACACAGCATGCCTCAGCCACACATGCAAATGATTTTATTCACATAACTTTAAAAAATACATCTTCATTACCCAGAATAAGCATTTGAAAGGCAAATATGCATGCATAGCATTGTAACATTCATACCATGGTACTTTATTCTAAAAATACAGAATCCATGAACAGCACTTCAATCTAAGAAACAGATCACTGAAATTTCTTAATCAGAAATGTTTAAAACAACGTCTAATTTAGCATCTAAATAAATTTTGAATACATATTCGAGACTTAAGAAATCATGTCTATGATTCCAAAGGAAAATTTTCATGTATCAGGAATTGAGAAGTGTGACCTTACTTCTCACTGCTGTTGGGAAGCAAAATATATGCATGTATCTGTCTTTCATACATACATCCTCCCTTTACAACTGTACCCTCTTCAAGCACTTGAAAACTATTAAAGATAGCATAGATTTTTTTAAGGGTTCAGTTTATGAAGATAACACAGGATATTCTTTCTTTTCATTCCAAAATCACATCCATGCACTGTAAAGACCTCATTTTACCTAATTTGACAAAACCCTCTTCCTACTGAAGTCAATAGCAATTTAGACATTGACTTCAAAGGGGTCCCCATTTTCATCTTGCAAGAAGACAAGTTAATTTATGTGACATTGCTTTTAGTTTATATAAGTCAAATCTTTGCATGTTTCTCTTATGCAGAATTTAATGGTCTTTTATTTCCACCAAATGTGGTTTACATTTTGAGGATAAAAATACAAAGCAAAAGAATAATGTGATTTTTTTTTTCAGTATTTCAAAAAAATCAAGTGCCTGGAAAGAAAGCAAATGGAAAAAATATTGTTTTGCCTTGGATAGTTCAAGCTTAGACACAGTTCATTCTCAATTTCCACTGACTAAAACAATGCCAATGAGAACTGAGGGCACTCAATAGGTTCAGGTTCTAAATCAACTGAAATAATACTCCTGAGACAAATAATGATCTTTAGTAGCAGACCATCAGGAAGCTGTACATATATTTATCTACATTGTACAAGGGTCACAGGCATTAGCTGGATGATCTACAGCTTGGGAATGTGCACATCTCATGCCTGATTCTCAATTAAGGCCTAAAATCTCTCAATTTATGGCTATTCATGGATTATAATAAAACAGCCTGCTTCAGATATCACAATTATCTGCAGAGCAACAAGACAGTTATGAGACTTCAACAAGGCAAATTTATAGAATCATCTTCAACTTCCACTGGCCAAATATTGATGAGCAGTAAAAGAGGACTTACCTGTCACTGTAGGCAGCTGCAGTGGCAGTGGCAGGCTGGGCATACCGGTAGGCAGCATAACCACCCTGAAACACAAACACACGCTCTGACTGGATTGCTACAGCACCTTAAACAACATTTTGCAAGATTTAGCAACAACCGAAAGAGTAGTCATGCTCTAAGTTCAGTTAAGGGGTTAAATAGGTAGGAAATATTTCAGTGAATTGCTAAGCAAAATTTATCACCACAAACTTAAGATTTGTCCCAGAGATGAGAAAGCAATGAACTGTATTCATCAATGTGTTTTTACAAGACAATACTGTATTCTTCCACAAGTTTTCAAGTAGCAATTGTTCTTACGAACAAGGTGGATGCATGTTAATAAAGCAATGCTGAACTTAAAATAAAAACTCAGCTAATAATCAATCCCTTCTTGTACAAAATAAGATTTATCATGTCTGGTTGATTAAACCTACGAATTTCTGCACTCATCACTTAATGTTACATAGGTTTCCAATTTATACATAAAATCATAATGAAGAAGCAAAATTCTCTTCTTCCATGAATTAACATTCAGTTGTATGTGACAGTAATTGCAGCTGTTCAATTAAGCAAAAAGGACAAACAAACACACATTTGAAAGGAATTGTGTGCAGTGATGCATTGATTATCAAACTGTGAAAACAGCAGAGCTTCCTGTTCAATGGACCACGGTGTTATATCAACCATTTCCAAATGATCTCAGCATGCCAATTAGCAAACAGAGGCCAGTCTCCACAGATAACACAAACACAATTTACGTCCCAATTAGAATTCACCACCCCACCATCCTCTGGGACAGGAGACTTTTGTATTTCCTTCCTCACCTTCCCCCACCTTAACAAAGAGTTGAATAACAAAGTATCAGATCACTCTGCTTGAAATAAAAGTCACTCTTTTGCTAAAGTGGTCCCTTTAGTGTTTTGGGGTTTGTTTTTTTTTCTTTTTTGGAAGGCTGCATTCACCCCAGAGGAACAGGCTATGATGTGTAACAGGAGCACATTTTTACTGCAGGAACTTCTGCGGGTTTTCTATTTGGATTCTACAAATAAAAATTCACCCTCTTCAGAAAAGCAATTTCAACTACTTTTACAGGCTATTTCCCTTTCTACCACTTTGCTTGGTGGAATTGCTTTCATCCCTAACATGTGTAAACCGTTTTGGGTTTGAAGATTTGAAGCAGTTTGGTTTTGGCAATCAATCATTCCGCTGATAACGCCACATCGCCCTCAGAATAAACATACGCTTTACATACACTGACAGCTCATTAGAAACTCCGGGCTTTGAATTGTCAGCTTACTTGAGGAACATTCTTTCTGACTTTTTCAAGAGCTCACACAGAGAATACTACATTTACCTCCCCGCTCCTGGTCAGCTCCCTGCCAGCAGCAATTGTGTCACACAACCAGGGGGACAAGGCAGGGCTTTCATAATCCCACACACGCTGTCTGTCTCTTTTGCAGCAACCCGCTCCTCTGTGCAAGCACAGAAGCACTGGGATGAAATACTTTCTCATTTCAGATCATTTGATTTTTATAAACCAATAGAAGGCTATTACTGTCAAAAAATGTATAACAGGCACATATTGCTCGTAGGTATGTGCATACAGGCAATCAGATGTCAAATCATGTCACCAAGTGCAAACCAAGCCAGTAAACAGCGAGCCTGAGAGATGATAACGCAGGCTGCACGCTTGGGCTGGCTTCTGCTGCAAGGAGAAAGGTGAGAGATTATACAAATGTATCTCTCCTCCCCTCCTGGTTTTGGGAGTGCTAAATATAGAAAATATAGAACCCTTTCTTTTTTTCCTCCTTTTTTTTTTTTCCCCTTTTTTCCCCCTGAGTGCTGACATGAGGGACTACAAACGGTAAAAGTACAAAGAGGATATTAAACTTGTTTTCATGATCCAATCCTGCAAATGTGTGGCAGACGGCAAGTCATTCTGCAGCGTGACAGGATTCTGTTCGCCACGTGTCTGACTCCTTGCCTTGTTCTGTAGCCCATTTCTAAACCCCCTTATTTAAATGTCAGAGGCCCTTCACTTGAGTCCAGCTATGCACATAATAACTCCACCGCAGCCCAGAACCGAGAATGGGCCACCACGAGAACTACCAATGTCTGATGTTCTCAATCAGGCAAAAATGAGACTGGCTGTTCACATATTGGCTGGGCTTAAATCTTCAGATGCTGTGAGAATCAATTTTCTTTCCTTTATTAACTATCACCAAAAATTGGTCAGTCTGTGAAGACGGACCCTTTCTTGCTCCCAAATATAAGAGTTCCATTCCTTTTATTCTTACATTTTTATTTGCTTTCATCAAAGAATTGCTGCTGAACAATGAAGCTCAACTCTGAACCTTATTAAGATGCCTTGCATTCAACAATCAGTATGAAATTTGTGAGAGTCCTGGAAAGACTGAGTCTAAAGCAATAAAAATAAAGAGATCAAAGTTATTGAATTTGCCTGAGTTCTTTGGAGATGTAAAAAGCAGGACGCATTGGGGTATCAGGAGAGTCGTAACTCCCCACCAGCCCATGTCATGATTGCATTTTCTAAATTTAAGCTATAACATAAATACACATAAAAACACTTTTAAGCAAATTACTTTTGGGGGTTTATGTTCTGCAGTTTTGGTGTGGTACTGAGCTTTCTTATTGTTTTACTTCGATTCAGATGATTTATCATTACAACAACAAAATACTTGAAGGTATACTTTATACTGGGGATCAGGATGGGAATCTGATTCAAACTCCTGAACTCTAAACTTCTGTGACAAATTCTACTTTACAATTTTTCTCTGATTTTGAACTTGGCTGATATCTTAGATGAAGAATACACTAGTACTATCCACTACATATACACCTCAAGTAATATATGAAATATTTCTCTTCATGCCTTAGGCTATATTGCAAAGTAAAATATTTAGAACAAAATTATGTAATCATTACATAATAATAATAATTTTCAGTTCCTACATTTTAGCAACATTTTATGAATGCTTTTTTTTTCCCTAAACACATTTAAACAGATACTACCTGACTTTTATGCTTGAAATGATTATTTTGAAAGTTCAGTTGAAAGAATGAATTCAGATAAAATGACTTAAAAATGTCTGCTGCCTTATCTGTGCTCCCATATTTGCTGCTTCCAAAAGAAGGATAACACAACATTACAGCAGCTTAAGTTGTCTTAAAAAATTAAGTATGGAGTCAATGTACTCACAGTCCAAATTTAGAGCTATGTCTCACTGGCGTGAAATACTGAATGGGACACTCACAACAATAACTTGTATTTCATGGAATATGAAGAACATCTGTGATTTTGTGATAGAATCTGGAAAATCAAATGCAACTGGTAGCCTGTTCTTATCATTTATACACACAGAAGCCATTTTCTCACATAGAGATTTGAGTATTAGTATGATTTGACAAGAGTCTACATTCAGCACAATGAGCGTTTTCCATCAGTCAGCATGTCATACCTGTGGTAACTTATTGCCATACACAGGCTCTTGCAATACTGCTCTATAAAGAAACAGAAATGTAATGATTTGAATGAGTAAGGAAAGAAGGACGGAAAGAAAGATGGAAAGAAACATGTAAGGAAGGAATTTAGACAAATTCCCCAAAGCCACTCATTACAATTTCCCTTTCAATCTTTTATACATCTCTGTGGCTGAGGCAAATTGCAAACGAGCAGTGGGATCCATGGAAGATTGGTAGCTAATTGTAACAGAGAAATGTTCATAAATTATAGAAGGAAATTGCAGATTTTTCAGATAAGATATGAAAAAATGGAAGTGAACAGAAAATCAAATGCACATGACTTTCAAAATATAATGTGTATATCTGTAGTAAGAATAATTTCCACAAAAATGAGTTATACAAATGCACGCCTATAGATCACAAAACCACATATACATGTGTGCATCTCCTATTAAAATAATGAAATTAGTTTTTATCTTGATTTCAGATGTACTGACAGTGTTTATTGTAGATACAGATAAACTAAGTGACTCTAAATGACGGGCATTTTTTTGTTAGTTTTTCCTATTGCTAACACATTTTAAATTCCCTGTGAATGTCGATAATTATTTTTCCCTCAATTTTTACTTCCTGTACCTCCTTTCACTCAAAGGTCTCAAAGTATCTTGTGAACATATATTAACCAAGGTTCAAAAGCTTCTCTACTATTGAGAATCATACCTCCCTTATTAGCTAAAATAAGGGAAATGGGATTAAAAAATGGCATTAATTATACCCAGCCCTGCAGATTACAGAAAGTAGAAGCAGTCATTTCCTCTTCCTCCACTCACATGCTATTGAGGTTTAAAGAGTATTCGTTCTGCTCACGGAGTAAAACTTCTTTTGAATGTATTTTATATCACAAATAAAGATCAGAGAGATGAAAAGACATTTCATCACCAGATCTCAAAACTTTTAAAAAGGTATCATGGAGTGCTCCAGCACACAGAGCACTAGGAGCAACAACCCACTGCTCCTTGGGGACCCTTTTGCCCTTGGAAAAGTCATTTCTCCACTTCTCCTTCTGTTTCTGTGAGTCACAGGAAATGACACATCTCTCTATTCACAAAACACAAAAATCTTTGGTTCTTAAAAGAAAGACTTCAGTGCTAGCTGCATATCCTTGTTTTTCACATAGAATAGTGCCTTTCAAGATCTCTGATTGCATCGATGGACTTCTACCTAGTATCAAGGGAACGTTGCTTAGATAATTAAATCTGCTTTTTCTTGGGAAATAAATACGTGCTCCACCCTCAATACCATCCTACATTTGAGCTAAAGGAAATGGCAGGAACTATAATAATATGATCTCCGTCTCTACCCTGGATGACAAAGTACGTCTTATTCTTGATCAGCAACTCAGAAGAAAATCTCAAACGTATGTACTTATACATTGTCATGGACTCTCACCAGTTGCATATGATGGGTTCAGAATCCTGAGAACAGCTCAGAAAATCTTGCTGGGAACAATAAGACTGACCGAGGTATGTGGTTAAACCATATCACCAAGGGACTTCTGAACCTGGTGATGACAGAGTGCGGAAATTTCTTGTATTTCTTTGCCTTCCCACATTTTGCATGTGGACTAAAGACTGGCATGTTCTGAAAACTCTATGACAATGGTAAAAAAATAACAGATTTAAGAGAAAGCAGAGCAATAGCGTAGAGCTATTATTCCAACTGCATATTTCTGTGCCTGTTACTATTTTTGCTTCATTTTGTGGAGTGTACTTTCTTATTTTCACAGGTGTCAATCTTCATCTAGGAACTTCTATATTTGCTGGCAGGCAACCTTAATTCTCTTTTAATGACTTTTTCTCTTAGTAAATCAATACTTAATTTTAAAAGGTCTTCCTTACTTCCTAATCATCTCCTTTATTTTTCCTACTCAAAGGCACATTTAAAAAGGAATTCAATAGCTCAGCTATTTCAGAGGCATTATTACATTTCATACAGAGCTATATGAAATATAGAATATATTATATTACATCTAGAACCATGGCTGTTGATTTTTCATTTTAGACTGCACTTTCCACATATTTTTACATTCCTATTCTCTTCTGTTCCTCTGGTTAGTATTAAGCAACTCTGGCTATTTGCTGCTCTTGGTTCACCCTGCAGTTTTTACCCCACCAGTACCTGTGTTTTCCCTCAGTCCTTTCCCCAAAACCTAGCCATCAAAGGCTATATTGATAGCTAGTTATGAAAAAATTTGCATGGTCCAACTTACTGTTGGTACTCAATGTAACATATCAGAATGAAACCCACTTTGATATACTTGTTAATGCATATTTTTGGTCTGGCTTTTCAGTACTGTGTTCCTTTTGTTTTGCTTTTTACGGTATTTTTAAAGTTCCTTTCTCTCTAATCTACTATAAAACCTATATTGTCTAATTCTTTTTCTCCTTTTTTTTCCACAAAGCATTTGTTCTTTTACAAAGCTTCAGCTCTGCACTTAAAATGAAAAGCTGAGTAGAACTATGTCGTAATCAACTGGGATTTAATAAATAACTTGGTCCACTGCAAACTAATACACTGTGAATTGTAAGGTTTCTTTTGATTTATGCCAGTTCTCTATCTCTCTCTCCCTCCCCTGCAAAATGTTTTACATGCAAGAAAAAAACAATGTGAAGAAAAATGAATTCTAAAATAAGAAGCTTTGTACATTATAAAAAACCAACCAAATTTGCAGAAGTCTGTTTTAATTCTGTCACCTGCTGTAAACATTCTGCTGCATTAAGAGAACTAATAAATGCAAACAGAAATACAAGGATGCAACTGAGTGAAAACCAATGAACCAGTATAGTTATTCCATTCTCTAATGCACGTGACTATTCCAGACAAGAAAACTGAGGCTATACTAGAAATCAGTAATGTCTTTGGAATCTTCCTCATTTAAATCACTTTCCATTTGGAAACAAAATGTTCAAGTCCCTGAGAGGGTGTGAGGCCACCTAAAAATAATACTGTCAATCACAAAAAAGAGATATTCCTGGTTTTCAGCAGCAGTAGGTTCCAAAACTAGGAACTTTATTACCATTTAGTTCCCACCTATATTATCCCACTAAGCAGTCCTGAGAAAAAACATCCTCTTGCCTTTCAGATTTTTGTGTTGGTAAACTTAGCAAAATGGATGTCACATTTTCCAACAGTTTGAAGAAATATGAAAATTGGAAACCACACTTGAAAAAATTCCCCACCGTACCATGTATCCTATGTAGCTCAAAAATTCAGCAGCAACGTGTTTAGGTGAGACTAAAGCAGCATACTACACTCGACTAAGCCTTTGGCAAATGAGTGATTCTCATTTGTTGTAAACAATATGTTACTGATAACACCACTAAGTACATACATCCACAGGGAAAGAATTTGAACCTACGCTAATTTATTTTAAATATATTTTAAAACTATGGAAATGAATTTTCAGATAAGTATCAGACACTTGTTACCCCATAAGAAAAAAACACCCTACTTAATCAGTAAATTGAAATTGTGTCCTTTTTCACACAAAACTTATTAAAAAAAAATCTGTTCCTTTGGAAATAGTTCTAAAAGATTGCTGATAATGAATACAACAGAATGTTTTCTAGGACTACCTATTGAATTGGCAATATCCAGACCAACTGCAACTCATCCATCTCTCTCTGCATGGCAACAGAGGCAGTACAACAGAAGCACAAGTAGGCTAGAGAAGGTTGTCTGGTGAAATGAAGATGATACCTGTAGTTTAGGGCCAGATTGCTTCATCAAAATAACAAAAAATGTGAAAGACTACTGGGGTATCGGTAACATATTTTACATCTACACATTAAAAAAAAAAAAGCCTGTGAACATAGGATATAAGAATTAATTATTTTAGAAGAGTGAAATCAGCCTCAAGCACCTGAAACTTCTTCCCTACTCAGACATCAGTAGTCTCTTTGTATCCATTCAAGGTAAAAACTTCAGCATTGGTAAGAAACTTTAAAAAAATATTATTTAAAAGTAAATTGGTGACCAATGAGGTGGAGCAGGTAATGATGGATCCAGGGCTGTAAATCCTTATTAACAAAGATAACCACTTCTTACATCATGAGCAGTCTCTACCCATTTCATTTAAATTGAAATAAGTGGATTTTAAAAGACCAGATTGAAGTCTACTCAGATGACACATAATACATAGCCATATCTTGAACTTACTATGTAATTAAGCTCTACTATCACCATGGTACCTATATATACCCAATGTTGCCTGGATTTGGGAAATCTGTATCTCTCCAGAAAGGATTTTCATACTTCAGGTATTAATAATACTCAGCTTGCCTTGACATTAAAAAAAATGAGCTTTTGGGGATTTGCAGAAGAATGATTCTGCTTTGTTTTGATTTTGTCTTTGAACTTCAATTTGGAAGGGAGACGCCCCTCCACAGATGCACACACATTTTTCACATCTTTTTGCATTCATTCAGCATTTGATTGAAGAGTTAATTCAGCTCCACTGAACAATGATAGATGTAATGAACAGAAAGGTCTTCCAATGTGAGAGATATTCTTCTCAATTCTTTCTGACAAGCAAGGGATGGTAAATAGACAAAACAGAGTCAAGCTAGGCAGCAAACTTGTAAAAAGAATGACTCTGGTAATGTACAAGGACAGCATGCACATCAATGAATACTTACATAAATGTCTGCACCATAAAATCCATCCTGGTATACAACACTGCAAGGATGCACACACAAAGAAAAACATCCATATTAGTGCATTTCCACATGCAAATGCCACCAACCCCTGCACAGCGGAGGTTAGTCTTGTCACAAGAACAGAGGGAGGGGGGAAAGAAGGCACTCTTCACATTGGTTAAGGAGGTTGGTAGTAATTATCAGAAGTGAAACTGTACCAAATACATCATCTTATAAAGTATGCCAAATGCTTAGTCAAAGAGAGGCAAAGTATGTCAGGATTGGAAAATACTTTTTTTCTTTTTCTTTTTTTTTTTTTTTTTTTTTTAAGCAACCACATATTGGCAGCATTTTTTCTATAAAAATTTTTCAGTGGGCCAATCCTACAATCAGATTTAATACATTAACAAAATGTTATCTCTTAAACGACTGCTTTCTTGTTCTGCAATTATGTCAAACCTCTGAAACAAAGTGGTAGTTGTCATTACTTAGATGGAAAACAAAACAAAGCATAAGTTTATATGGTGAGAGGAATAAGTGAAGTAATTATACTGGTGGCATTCTACCCATTGGGTCAAATCTCAATACCTCAATGTACACACAGACATCATTCGTAGGTAGTGCATTGTTGGCTTGATATACATTTCCAATAGCAGTTCTGTTAACAATCTCATGGTGCTATTTCTATTTAAAGAAAGCATTAACCTTCCTCACTTTATCATTTTACAACTCTGGGTAACAAGCCTGTAGTTCTGAGCTCCCCTGCAGTTTTGGTTGGATACTTTGCTACTTATTAAAAAAATGTTAGTATTGTTATATTGCTGTTAACAGTTCACTCAGAGACTGCTGCATTTCAGCTAAGACAAATCATCACTCTAAACAGTTCAAATTTTAGATTTTAAACCCGTCAGGATAAATGACATAGTATGACAAAGATGGTTTAAATGATTACACTCAAATAAAACTGGAACTACACAACAGTGGCCTACCAATTACACACACAAGTCCTGCAATTTTACATTCATTTGGCAGCTCTGCAACTTAAAATGGGTATTTCCAATATCAGAATCAACCCAAGCTGTTTCAAGAGCTAAATATGAGAGCACACAATAGGGTTTTTGCAACAATATTTTTGATTTGGGAATACTATTATCTGGGAATAATAGTTATTACCATGTTTCTAGCCTAAGCTGTTTTGCAATTCCAACAAGAATTTTCATGTCAGAAATATAACTGATCTATTGAGGTCAATGACCAAAACCCACAGGGTTGAGCTGGCACGTGTCTAAGTCAGAATCACTTGAGAAAATCATAAATATGCATACATGCACATAAACCACATGGATAAAGCCACACTGATGATAAAAGTCTGCTATGGAATAATAATGTGTGAAAACTCAGCTCCACTTAAATCACAGTGTCTGCCACTTGCTTCAGTAAGGTCAGACCTCTATTCATGTATTTTTCCATTTATTATGTCTGCAGAGCAGAATATGCCAAACCTGGTCTACATTGGTAGCGTTCAGAGAGCTTACTATTTACATTTTAGTGTACCTTCATTTTGGCTTTGATATTCTGATTATTTTAAAATCTTATATGTTTGTCTCATAGCTGTTTGCACGTAAGAAATAAAACATTCCACATGACCGTGAGGTAGAACTACACAATTGTGAACGAGATGGAAGGATCCTATACAGATCCTATACAAATGACACAAAGTTAACTGAAGATGGATACCCCACAACCACAACCCCCCAGTTCCTCATAGCCCTGTGCCACTTTTGCTGGAAGGAGGTGGAGGAGTTGGGAAGGAAGAATCGAGGTTGAGCCTGGGAAGAAGGGGCAGGGAGGGAAAGTGTTTTCAGTTTTGTCTGTTTCTAACCATCTAACTGGGTTTCAGTAGGTAATAAATTAAATTAATTTTCAAGTCAAGACTGTTTTGCCCATGATGGTCACTGGTAAGCAATCTCCATGTCTTTATGTTGAGCCAAGAGCTTTTCCATCTTCCTTTCTCCCCTTGTACGGTCAAGAGTGGCTGGCTGAGGGTCTGGCAGCCAGGCAAGGTCAACCCACCACAGTACTTAAAACATACTATTCCCACATTAAATATTTATTAAATATATTA